ATTGTTGTTGCGGAATGATGAATCAATCGTTCGATCGTACGAAAAGGATCGACAATGGGATTTCTTGGGCCGTGCAGTGAGAGAACAGCAAGTAACAAATGAGTATGTGTTTCTCTGCTCGTCTGGTACTGCAGAAGGCCGAGACTTCTTCTTGTGTTCAATTTTTTCCAACTTGGCCGTCGGCGGTCGAGAATAGAAAACCGCCCGATCTCGTAGGATTTCAATTGGGATGGCTTTCGTTGATAGTCGCTTGATAGAGGAGGTGCGCTTGATAGGAGATAGGAGGATCGATCCTTTCGGCTTGAATAGGTTGTAAAGAGAGGAAAAAAGGATGGGTGTTTTCCGTGATGACGTTGAGTGGATTCCTATTAAAACAGTACTCTTCAAGAAATAACGGATAACAAGCTTCTGAGGTCCTTTCGCTTCGTTTCAATGCTTCCAATGGTGCTAATAGGTAGTGTAATGGTATAGGTATGACCGATTGGTTGTGTTGGTATTAGTGTTGTTGTTCTTGTAGTGAAAGATCCAGAGGGGAAGCGCTTCGGTTTTCGGCTTCCCTTGAAAAAGTTGCAAACGATCGACTAGTCAAATTCCTAGCTCAAAATGGCTACCACCAACACAACACACCCACGGCCTCTTCAAAAACACTACAAGGCCCATAATGTTCACACTGTAGTAGATGATTTCGGAATCCAGTACACTGGCGAAGAACATCCCAACACCTCATCGACACCATCCAATGACAACGGACTGGACGGAAGCCTCTATTGCGGTCTCACCCTAAACTGGGACTACACCAAAGAACCGTCGACCTCCATGCCAGGGTACATCAAAAAAGCCCTAGCACGTTTCGAACATCCAAACCCAAACAGAGCCCAAAATTCACATACAAATGCAACCTCCACAATATGGAGCCAAGACCCAGTGCAATACACGGCCTTAGCCTTATTCGCGACTCGATCCTAGATAGGGTCTGAGTTCGACTCATGATAGTCCTTCGCGAATATCATTGGAGACAGGATTCTCAATGACCGCTCTAGTCATACTAGGTTGATGATAAACATCGCTTAGATATTTTTCCAGCGTGGAGTACTTCCACGTCACTAGATAAATGCTAGACGATCTTCCACGCGTTCCGTTTTTGGATCGTGGAATGAGTAGGATTGCTACCGCAATCTACTCTATCTCACTCTACAGTCTCCCGCGGAGTTCAGATCTACGATCCTTTGATTGTGGTCTCTCTCGTTGATTAGTTTTTCATAGCTTTCTAGCTTCGGTTTCAGAGTGGTATGATGCATCACTGTGATGGATAGGATCATGCCGCTTGCATGGTATCTGACTGTGGCGTCTGGGTGGGTGAAGCAATAGTCGAGGAGTTGAGCTGCAGCTCTCTTGGTGGCCTGAGTTCCTTGGTCTGGGCTGAGGCTAGTGTGCCAAGGGCTACTAGCATGGTGAGTCCACTGCTCTTCCATAATATAGGAGGTTCCTATGATTTCTTGGAGCGTTTTGTGTCTTTTTGTTGGAGAGGATTGGTAGTGTCAGCTTTGGTTGTGAGCTGGGTCTTGGCTCCATATTGCGGTAGGTTGCATTTGTATGGTGAATGTTGGGCTCTGTTTGGGTTGGATGTTCGAAACGTGCTAGGGCTTTTGTGATGTACCTGGCATGGAGAGGTCGACGGTTCTGTTGGTGTAGCCCAGTTTAGGGTGAGACCACAATAGAGGCTTCCGGTCCAGTCCGTTGTCATTGTATTGGGCTTGGATGGTGTCGATGAGGTGTTGGGCATGTTCTTCGCCGTGTACTGGATTCCGAAATCATCTACTACAGTGTGAACATTATGGGCCTTTAGTGTGTGTTTGAAGAGGCCGTGGGTGTGTTTGGTTTGGTGGTAGCCATTTTGAGCTAGGAATTTGACTAGTCGATCGTTTGCAAGCGTCCGGCTTGGGGTAGTCCATACATGCTTTTCTTATTTCTACGTAGTGTATCCGTTATGGATTTTGGAGTCTAGTCGTATCGGCGCATGATGTCAGCTGGGATGTCATCTACACGAAGCGCATGTATTCGTATTCTGTCATTGGTGTGTTTAGATAAAAATCTTTTATGTCTGCAGTACAGAATTTGGCATCGGGAGTGGATATGACGCTGTTTAGTAGGCATTTTACGGTAGTGAGATCGGATGTTTTTGTTGAAACTTCACCGTCGTATTCAATGCGGTTGCCCCGACGGTCCATCGGACTCGTTTCTTTACCACTTTGTGTGGCGGTCTTCGGGTACAAGTCGAGCATATGTGGGTTTTTTATTGTGTGGCACCTGGTCCTTGGTGATGAAGTAGCATGTGTGGTTCCACTGTCGGGGTGGGCGTCGTTGCCTTGGCAACATCGACCAATTTCGTCACTAAACATTTGTCCCATATGTCTCCTTCAGAATTTCGTCTAAGTTCTTGGTAGCTGGCTTCTCGACCGGTGTCGATGTTGACGGCGTTGCAGACTTGCGGAGCGTTGAAGGGGGAGGCTGGGGGAAAAGTCGTTCTAGGCGGTGGCTTAATAATTGTTTTAGGCTATGGCTGCGGTTTGTTGGTTTTTTACGCTTGGATCGTGGAGCCTTAGATGGATCGGTTGTGATTTTGTGTTGGGCCGTAGATTTGCGTGTGTTTGCGATGGCTTTCTAGTGGCAGCCGATTGTTGTCTGGCTGCGTGGGCTTTTTGGTTGCGTGTTGGTATTTGCGGTGGTGATGTTTTGTGGCAATTCGGTCTTTCCAGTCGGGATCCCGCTGGGTTGGTTTGATGGGGTCCCTTAGGATCCAGGGTGTCTTTTGGGGCACCCTCTGAAGTGGTGTCGTCTTTGGGACGGTGGGAACTCTGTTTGGAGTATTTGTTGGATGGTTTCTAGTTGGTAACTTCACTGTCGGTTAACGGAGCTAAGGGAGAGTTGGGGCTTGGGTTTGCCAATGCGTTTGTGAGATCATGGGCTGCTTTGATGACTATGTCTGTTGTGCTGTGGGTGGGCATGGTTACATGTCTGGGGAACCATTCTACGTATCCATTATTCGGGTGCTCTGGTGTCAATGCACCATGCTTATAGCACCGATACGAGTCCATGGCAGGTCCAACGTACCATGCTTCTTTCGCATGGGGTCCCATGATGCTCGATTCCTGGTTTTTCGTGGCCTAGTACGAATGTGCCTGGTGGAGCCATGGGGGTGCGGTTGAAGTCGAAGATACCGTGGACTTGGGCTAGCCGAGAGTTTTGGGTTTACTCTGGAGCCTGAAGAAGGTTGAGTGTGATGTTGGCTTGCGGGATAAGGCGGCACCATAGGTGCATTGGGAAGTTGGGGTCACAGCCGCAAAATATCGCAATGAGATGGTTTTTTGCGGTTCGGATGGCTCGTTCGGCTGCGTTGCGTCTATGCATGCCGGGTGGGGCTAGTTGGAAGTCAATGTTTTCGGAGCGTAAGTGTTCTTTTAAAATATTGGAGCATTCGTTATCTAGGCGATGTAGTTCTGGTTTAAATCAGCTTGGACTAGTACGGCGTTCTTCGTTTGAAGGCTGAAAGAATTTCTCCTGCTGTTCGGTTTTTCATGGTTCCATGTGTAATGTAATTGGGATCGTACTGTATAGGACAAATATATATGCATGCCTTGGCTGGAGTAATGGGAAGTTGTCCCGTTTGGTCGGTTTAAATTTGGCCGGTTGGGTCACGTGCATCATTGTGGCGAAGCACGCTTTGGTGCGTTGTCCTTTTTGTAGGGCTGGCGGGAATTCATTTGGAGATCGGTCATTGGTTGTGGCAGTTTAGGTTTTGTGGTTTGTTCCCTGGCGTTGTTGGTCCCTGTGTCCTTTAGTAGTTGCCTTTGATTGGGTGGGTATTTGCGGAGGCTTTTTGTGTTGAGGCCTGGGAAACCTGTTATATAGTGCCTGTCGACTGCAGTTTGGAGCGTGAGAGTGCTGGGTGGCCCATAGTAGCGTGACTGAGGCTACCTGTTGGGCTTTGGTGGGATCAAAGTGTGCTGCGTTGGCGAAGTTGTGGGTCGGTTTGATGGTGACCGAAGCTGCTTGTTGAATTGGATCATCGGTGGGAAACCGGGTGGGTTGTCTATGGGATGTGCCATAGGCCAGTCTGGGGTGTTCGGTAGCCGTGATAATGCATTGTGCGTTGTAATAGACCTTGACCGTGGTGTTGGTAAAGGTGGCTGTGCAACCACTATCGCAGAGCTGTCTAGCGAGATGAGAGATCCTGAGCCATGTTTGAGTTTTTTGAATAGATGAGCTCTACATGTGCATGTGGTAGGTGTGGTATGGTGATGTCTCCTTCATGGTGGATGTCATGGTGGCTCTTGTGCTACTACGGCTGTGATTGGGTTGGTAGTGGGGGTTTGTTTTGACAACTAGCATTCCAATTAGAAAATGAGACGTGGCTGCACTATCTAAGGCACCGTAATTGGTGTTTTTAATTGGTGGTGGGGGAGGACCTAACGAGTGTTGTTGTTCTTGTTGAAAGTGGGTCTAATTATTTTAGATTGACTGTTATTGTTAGCTTCCCGCTGAATCAGTTTCCTCGGCGGGGCTGGTATCGTTCGTTGCTGCCTCCCATTTTGTTTTGAGCGGTGGCCTGGATGTTGTGGCCCTCCTTTGGGAAGTTGCACGTATCACTGTTGTGGGCTGGGTTTGGCAGTAACCGTGAGTCCAGCACCATCCCATGCATCGAGTTCGGCTGCCGTGAGACCAACGATCGAGGTGTTGGCTCTGGTAGCGGAGCGTCGGTTGGGCGATCGGTGGTGGTGGTGGTGGTTGCGTTTGCTGCTTGGGATTCTCGAAGTGACTCTTGGACGATCCTGGTGATCGTGGCTATGTCGATCAGTTGTGGTGGGTGAGCGTAGAGTCCCGGTGGTAACGTTTGGGTGTCCTGATAGTTGCGTTGGCTCGTTGGTGTAGCCTGCGGCGCTGACAGTGGTTTCGGTCTGGCGACATTTTCGGCATCACGAAAGAATTCTTTGAAGTGGGTGAGGGTGGGTTTTCTGGTGTACGCTTGTTCCATTCTCGGATGGATGAATGAATAGGCCCGTGGCTTGTAGAGTGGCTATTCCGGCGCTGACAGCGTTGCGGTCACTAATGACATCTCCGCCTTCTACTGAGAAACATGCAGGTGTCATATTATCGGTAGTCATTGTAGGAGAGGGTAGAATTGGATTTGAAGTTGGGTGACACGGGTATATTTAGTTCCCTTTGTCGATTCTCTCTCTTTTTAGAAAGCTATGAAAAACTAATCAACGAGAGAGATCCACAATCAAAGGATCGTAGATCTGAACTCCCGCGGGAGACTGTAGAGTGAGATAGAGTAGATTGCGGTAGCAATCCTACTCATTCCACGATCCAAAAACGGAACGCGTGGAAGATTCGTCTAGCATTTATCTAGTAGCGTGGAAGTACTCCACGCTGGCTAAATATCTAGAGCGATGTTTCATCATCAACCTAGTATGACTAGAGCGGTCATTGAGAATTCTGTCTCCAATGAATATTCGCGAAGGACTATGTCATGAGTCGAACTCAGACCCTATCTAGGATCGAGTCGCGAATAAGGCTAAGAGCCGTGTATTGCACTGGGTCTTGGCTCCATATTGTGGCAGGTTGCATTTGTATGGTGAATTTTGGGCTCTGTTTGGGTGTGGATGTTCGAAACGTGCTAGGGCTTTTGTGATGTACCCTGGCATGGAGAGGTCGACGGTTCTATTGGTGTAGTCCCAGTTTAGGGTGAGACCGCAATAGAGGCTTCCGGTCCAGTCCGTTGTCATTGGATGGTGTCGATGAGGTGTTGGGCATGTTCTTCGCCAGTGTACTGGATTCCGAAATCATCTACTACTAGTGTGAACATTATGGGCCTTGTAGTGTGTTTGAAGAGGCCGTGGGTGTGTTTGGTTTGGTGGTAGCCATTTTGAGCTAGGAATTTGACTAGTCGATCGTTTGCAACTTTTTCAAGGGAAGCCGAAAACCGAAGCGCTTCCCCTCTGGATCTGTCACTACAAGAACAACAACACTAATAGCAACACAACCAATCGGTCATACCTATACCATTACACTACCTATTAGCACCATTGGAAGCATTGAAACGAAGCGAAAGGACCTCAGGAAGCTTGTTATCTGTATTTCGTTGAAGAGTACTGTTTACTATAGGAATCCACTCAACGTCATCAACGGAAAACATACATCATTTTTTCCTCTCTTTACACCATATTCCAGCCGAAAGGATCGATACATCCTATCACCTGCGCACCACCCCTATCAAGCGACTATAAAAGCCATCCAACAACATTGAAACTCCTAACGAGATC